TATATTTATATCGCTAATAAGTTATGAATTTCAATAATGACATTAATTTGAAAATTGGCCACATTTATACACGCATTTACCAATGTTTTGACGTCATTTCTAGTGCGTAGCTTTGGCAAACCGACGTCACTTAATTGATACAGCTAGTAATTCAATGCAAATTCAAAGTGGTAGACCATGCTGTCAATGTTTAGATACTACTATATGCTTTACAAACCATTAGTGTATAGTACTTACGCCTCAATCTTGGTCTGACTTATAATTATATGGATCATCAATCAATTTATCAAAATTGCAAGAGAATATTGAGCGCCTAACACATTTTATTAGGAGCGCTAACATAGATTAGGTTAGGTTAGCCCAGAAAGCCGGTTCATTTTAATACTTAAAACTCCTATGTATTGATCAAAAAGACCCATATAATTCAACAAACCGCTTTGAACGTATCATAAATTTGAGCGCTGACATACATAGGTTAGGTTGGATTAGGTTAGAATCGAGGATAGATCCTGTAATAAACTTCAGCAGGGACCTTGAGAAAAAATACCTCCATAACTCAACCAATAATTTTAGTGCTGACTTAATCTAAAAGAAAATTTATTCATTATAAAATAGTTTTATAACATACTGTCTGCCAAAAATTCATCGCAGCGTGCCCATTAAATACGCCAACTGTAACGTTGTTAGAGGACACCTCACTATTTGGAACACACAACTTCTACTTTCAGCAGAGAAGTAATTACAGATAACACACTCCAAAGATCTCTCAGAAACATTGTAAAGTGGAATCAGCAGAATGCAAAGCATTTGCAGAAAATTCTGTGACGCTGGGAAATAACTTTTGCGAATTTTCAATATTCAGCCGATTGATTCGGGATAGAGTTTACGGCGCCCATTATTTAAAATAGAAATTTCAAGAAATCCACAAAGTTGTTAAATGGTATTTAGTTGAGTATATAATAACACAATTTTATGTATTCCTGTACCATTTATACTATATTCTCGGTAGATGACGTGAGTTTTTAAAAACCGAACACTGATTTTGAGAGTGATGATTTTGTAAGTGGGAAGGAAAATTAGAATCCAAATGAGATGTTTAGAGCTCATTCTTAAAATTAGCATATAACAAGTGTTATAACTGTAAAACAATCATGACCAAAAAATGTGAAATGCTGCTGGCACGAAAAACTTAGTGGTGTACTAGATGTATATGTACATCCAAGTAAACTCATTTGCTTTTTAAATAGTTGAACACTAATTCAAAAGATATTTACAGGGATTTTCAACTCGCAATTACAATAAAAAATGCGTTCATCAATTATTTTTCAGTGGATTTTAAACCAAACTAATTTACAGTGACTTTTTAAAACAACGTTTTTGAAAATCAAATTGAAAATGCAGTTATTATTCCAACACGAGTCCCTAATATATCGTTTGAAAAGCATTATCTTCATCCATAACGTATTTATGTTTACAATGATTATTATTGGTTCATAGTATTATTAAGCCCGAATTAACGAATAATATTTCAAAAAATAAAATTTAACAAAACCCTAAACTACTAAATGCACAAAATCATGAACAACATGATACGAAACTTTTCGATTCCAGAGAAGGCGGTCAAACTGCATATCTTCCCTTTTTTAATTTGCCAGTGGTACATCTGTGGAAAGAATTAAGTTTTGAGATTTTTAATGTATTTCATGGGTATTTTTCGGTTTCCATTCCACAGAAAATTATACATAATTAACATTACTTTTTGAAGCGACCTATAGTATATTAGCGTATGTACATGTGTATTTTAATCACAAAGGACTTTCACAATAGAATTTAAAAATTTTCAATTTTACCAAATGTTTTATTATTTCCAAACAAATAGATGCTAAACATGAATTTTCTTTTTTTTTCTGTGCAATTGAAATATATATTTAATAAACCAATATTTTTTGATAATTTATTCGAAAATCAAAGTTTAAATAATATTTGCGGAGAATTCTGACAAAAATATGTATGCACGTTGACATTTGATACCAAAACTACCCTCTCTTTCTTAAAAAAAAACCTATATTAAATCTCTTTAAATAAAAGTTACGAACATGCCTATAATTTACTACAAATCTGCTTTCACAAATAACCCACTCTTTGCGCAATGTATTTCTGCGGGATTCTTAATGGTAGTTCGAAGTTTTGATTGTCAGCTGTTCAGTAGTCCATAAACTTTCAGTGTTGCCAAGTTAAACCACGAGTCATGGCCTCTCTCAACAAACAAAGAGAAGAGCTTCAGATCATATTATCCACGCACAAAGTATCAATCAGTCTAACCAACATAATACAAGTCTCCGTCCTCTGGTTCTCATATTTATATATACGAAAATATTTAAAATATAACTGGATAATGCTTTAACAGTTCAAGCACAACCGTACTATTAATTATATAATTATTGCTATATGAACTGAGAAAGCATTTAAAATTTAATATGAGTCGACCCCCATTAATTTACATTGTTCAGCACCACAACTCCACAAAGACTGTATGTCAGGAATAATATCTAAGAAACATATTCGATTTTTAAGTAATTTTTTTTTTATTCAACATCTTTTCATACTTAAACGCTAATAACAGTCCAAAGAAATACACTTCGCTAAAAGAAGTTGACTTATGCCTCAGGGGCAACGGGCAAATGAGCACCTTGTGGTTGGAAACCGTTCTCATCGGCGATGTAGGTGACGGTGTAGGTTTGACCATCATCAGCGACGAAAGAGTAAGAACCACGGGCAACAATGTGTTCATCTTCTGCACCAACATTGACCAAATGACCTTCTTCGTCCTTTGATGTACCATCGCTGGTCTTCAAGCTATAAAACGCAAACGAAAAGAGGTTATATTTTTAATACTTGTTTGTAGCTGGTGCAATCCATTTGATTCTCTATGCGATCTCTCGCAGTTAAGGATTTTTGTCACAGTTTTAAGAACTTACGCGAAGCTGTATTTCTCGGGGTCGACATCGGATCTCAATTCGACGATTTCGGCTTCAGGAGCAGCTGGAGCAGCATAGGCCAAAGCGAAGAGGGCGACGAAAACAATAACGAATTTCATGTTAGTTTTTGTTTGTTTGCTGGTTGTTCAGACTACGGAATCAGACTACTAACTGTGCTAGTTGACAAAGCTACTTCATGCTTTTATTCAAAAATTCGGTGATTAGCAGCGTACATCTGCAACGCCAAAAAGAAGTATGTAGAGACAAAAAGAAAACAAATATTGATTCTTAAATTTGATTAACCATTTGTTGAAAACCGAAAAATGAAGAAAAAACTAGTTTTACTAAAAGAGAATTGTTAAGGATTTTTTATGAATAGATTTTTGCTTAATCTTTTCTGAATGTGTGGTGTTTAAATGCATTAACAGGTAGGAAATAAGATAGAGCAAAAGCAAAATAAATGCAGTGACGTCTGTAGAAAGCTTATTATTTAAGAAATACGTTTGACTAAAGTTTTTGCAAAGAAAAATTATTGTTATAACTTTTTATGCCCTGAACATTGAATATATTGAGTTTGCCACGAAGTTTTTAACACCTAGAACGATACATCGGAGCCTCTATAAAATATATATTATATATATTTACCTGATAAGCGTCGATTTAGACATGTCCGTCTGACTGTGGATATCGGACGAATCTAGCATATAGCTGCGTGCAAGCTGATCGAACAAAATCAAGACCAAGTAAGGTAATATTTTTTATTTGACAGGATAACTTTTGCATATGCCAACATAACATAGCTACCAAAGCAATACAAATCAAGGTACAAATATTGTATACCCTTTAAAGCTATATAAGAAATTCACCTGTGAGGGGTATTATAACGTCAATGCAAAAAATACTTCTACTCGATACCATTTTTCTACTGAACTAACAACAATAAAATGGTTGCCATTGCTAGGTGAATGCGAGCCAATTTCCGCCAGCAATGAATGAATGACGATTATACCGTTAGTTTCGAGTGAGCCACTGCGAACCAGCGCTATTAACTTGCATGTAGCGTGTTTTGGGGTTTATTCTTATATAGATCATATATTTGGTATATCATAGCCTATATGGCGTATTATTACTTTCCCTTTCTGGAATATTAAATGTATTTTACTTTGATAGATTAACGTTATAAACGCCTATACGCCAAATGTCGTGACTAAACTATGACCAATTGGCATTACATTGAACTCTATAAAAACTTGATATCAAAACATTCGAATACAGTCGAAACAACTGGATAAAAAGAAATTTCTCGTGTTTTAAAAACGCCACTCTTTATCAGCGATAGGTTTTCCATTTTCAAAGATAGTTTTTAGACTCGGTTCATTGCGGCGTGCAATCAGAAATACATTTCCGGGGGATTTCTGTTCAAATTTTGTATCACGTTAAAAAAGGGATGATACTTGTATAGTACACCACGTTAACTCATTAGTAAATTATATTTACTTTTCAACTGAACAAAATTTTTCGCATATGCTAAAAGTGCTTATAAAACGAGATCCAGTCTTCTGGGCTGTGAAGCCATGATGTTTAAAATTTCTTTGCTCAAAACATCATTATCTCTATGGACACTGAGAAGAGCAAGGCCGTTCATTCTGTCATCACTAGTCGCCGAAAGTAAGTTTTCAGTCAAAAACGATATTTAACTGTGGGCAGCTGATACCGGTAGAGTTGCAGCGATCTGCAGATATCGATGCACAGTTGGGTAGAACTTTTTGTCAGCAACATTTATTAATTTAAGAATGTTTCAGACGGAACTTAACCGCTATTTTGAAATCAAATTAAGTTATTCCATACTGTAGAGCATTAAAAAATAATCAACACGCATTTCCTTTAAATTAAATTTTTACTTAAGTTATGTGAGTTCTGTGCTTGCTTGTGAGGTTAATAATACTTTAGGGATTTGAACCCCTAAAACGCTTTTTGCGTACGCCTCTTATGGCAAAACTTCGATTTGGTTTGAAATTGTATCCACTTCTTCCCTTTTTTTGCATCTGGCCAAATCGACGTTTTAGATCTCAAGATATTTCTCACTGCTAATAAGTCCTCGAGACCGAGGCCGATTTTGAAACAAAAAACCAATGTTCTACAAAAATGGTATCGGTAAGTTGGAAGATCACTATAATCGGTGTATCGTCGCCGATTGTAGTACCATCGATCACTCCAATCTGGAAATAAACTGCTCGGAGAATCTAACTGTTAAGTACTTCTCTACTCTGCAGCTACATTTTATAACTGATAATAGAGGCAAGAGATTCATAAAGCCCTTTCTGACAGTTAAACAAGACATTATTACTACTTCGATACCACCAAGGTGTTTCAATATTGATATAACGACAATACCTCTAAGCCATAACAACAAACCTAATCACGTCTTGCGCTATATGTACCTTAAATTAGAGAAAAGTGTGTGAGGATTTTGCCCTAGTAGCCCATAATACTTTTTATAAAGTGTTAAATCCAAAAATTTCCAAAAATTTCTATAGTGTATTGACCTTAACTTTACCTTACCGTAGTTATGACAAACTAATTTGAGAGTGAATAACATAAGATTTCTAAAGTCCTAAATTCAATTTTTTAAGGCTGTAAGTTATTAGACCCTCTATAGAACCCGAAGTTTATAAACAATTAATGAAAAAATTCGTTTTTGACTTGTTCACTCTTTAATTTTAATTAACATCCATTCCTAAAATCTAATAACAGCTCCACATTCAGTTGTCGATTATTGCACTTAAGCCACTGGGGCAACGGGCAAATGAGCACCTTGTGGTTGGAAACCGTTCTCATCGGCGATGTAGGTGACGGTGTAGGTTTGACCGTCATCAGCGACGAAAGAGTAAGAACCACGGGCAACAATGTGTTCATCTTCAGCACCAACATTGACCAAATGACCTTCTTCGTCCTTTGATGTACCATCGCTGGTCTTCAAGCTATATACACAAACGAAAAGAGGTTATATTTTTAATACTTGTTTGTAACTGGTGCAATCCATTTGATTCTCTATGCGATCTCTCGCAGT